TACCCAAGCAACGATCGCACATTCCACCGGCGTAGGAGCTGGGCCCCGCTCTTCTTTGCGCTCAGAGTCCTCTGCACTGTTTGTGACATTTCCACCAGTGCCTCCGTCGAATCCGAATAGTTTTCGGTAGTTAATCCGTTGACTGGCAAGTATGAGCAAAACTAAAATAATAGCTATCGTCATGAAAAAAATTAAAATGTCGTGTCATAAATGCAAATTATATACAGATATAAATCAGTACGTGTCACTTCTTCTGGGTTACAAGTAATTAATGTATAGTTTCTTTACTTCCAGCGACATCTAAGGGTCACTTCAATGTATCACGGTTCCATGGCCGCAGACGTTAGTTAACGTTTGCACCTGAGCTTCAACATACTACCTATGTAACGATTTAAATTGGTTTCATAAGCAGCAGGAGACAAATGGCAGTGGTACCCGGTTAAGGAAAGTTATGCATTTATTAACATGTTCAAGTATAAGAACCGCTGTTCTGATATTTTTGTGAAAGTATACATATGGTCGACTTGGTGAGATTTTCTGACCAATTTGATACCGTAAAACCGTATCATGTTTAAGTAGGCTGCATAGGCTCCTAAATTCAACTTATCATCAAACTTGACCACTTACGTATAAACGTACAGTATGACGCGGCATGACAAAGAAACTTAATGAACGGCTTGCGAACAAACTGTCCAACGGTCGACCTGGGAGCAATCAGGTAGAACAGCGACAAAATTGGGAAACACAGCGAAACGATCAGTATCAACAAAACCTAAAATGAACAATTATGGAAGGTGCGAGTCCAAAACGTATTTTATATAACTTTAAATAGTTCATTCATTCGGCGGAAGCCTGGAAGTCCTTCGTACCAGATGAGAGTCAGAAGTTGCTGGCAGTTTGGATGAGCGACGAACTTCAACAAAAACAATTTATAGTCATAGAGTAAATTATAGCAAGTACAATGTTCAAAATTAGACTAGGCACTTTTACATAATAGTAAATTCACAGGCTGCATGACGGTATGGAAAGTACATATATGACATTACTCTTTAGCAAAAATCTAGCAGAATATAAAGTTGATATTAACCGATACTAAGTCTAATCACTGATATATAGCTTGATTATAATATTAATCCCTGCGTAAAAGCATTCATTTCCGGACTACAGTAGTTAAAAACATACGTATACCTGTAGAGAAATTTTGCAATGAACCTCGTCAATGACTCGAAGTACAGCATGGACATAATGAAGCTCATAAATCAAAACAAAGTACAGCATCGAAGCACCAATGTCTAGGATAATCTGCCGATGGTGAAGAATTTGATGGCAATCAAAAAACCTTTTGAGAAACTGAAAGTATGCAAAACATGAGGAATAACTAGAAGTCAACAAGTACAAATGGCTCAGATGGGCATTAACTTATTCACACATGCCCTCATATATTTAAATATCGATGCATCATAATGCACAGGGACGACATGCACAATGCGCCTTCATATAAGCCTGCGATCAAATGTACTTGTGCTAAATGATTTAAATCACTAACACACATGTAAACAAAAACATGCAGGTATAGAAACACAAATGCCTGTGCATGCATACTCCTACACATATTTATACAAATATAAACATAGCATTAAGGTATAC